GGCTCAGCCTCTGGGCCTGAATCTGGCCCTGGCCCTAAAACGTGTACCTGGCCACAAAACGGACAACAGTACACACGTTAGAAAAACAGCAGCAAGTAAAATAAATAAAAGACTATAAAAATAATCTAAAGCTGGCGTTTTTCTAATGCAGGCCCAAGTAAAATAGGGCCTTCAGGTTGCGGTGACGCGACCTGGGGGCCCTATTCCAACCTCGGGTCCCGTGAGGGGCCCGTGTGTAGGCTTTCAGCACGTAACACGCCCCCCTCCTTATGAAGACGAGCTGAGGGGTGGGCGAAGCTGCCGATCCGATGGCGGAATGTAGCGAGGATGGCGAGGAGCTGGAGTGCTCGGCGTAGTCTTCCCTTTGCTAAGATAGCGTGAGAGAACGGCGGGGGCTGTGGCCTGCAGTTCCGAACGCGTCAGCCAACGGTCAGCCTTGTGGCTCCAGTAGGAAAAGTGAAGTAGAAACTCTGTTTCTTTGTTGCCATAGCGCCGGTCAGTGATGATGTAGCCGGCCTCCTGAAATTCGTCCATGGAAGGAGGGTCTTGCGTACGTCGACCGAGAAACTCGTCGGACTCCGCTGAAACAAAAGGAGCGAGTTTGGAATAGTGGAACACCGTGTGGACGGGCAAGTGAGGTGGCACCGCGATGCGGAATGAAGGCCCCTCAGGATCATCACCAACTGCAGAGAGAATGCGCCAAGGCCCCATCCACTTGGGAAGGAGCTTGCGAGAGATGTCTTGCTCAAGGCTGAACTCCGCGGGCGGAGACCCAAACCACATCGCTGGCACAGAACGGGCAAGGAAGGCAATTGCGGTTGGCTTGACGGCTCATCGGTATTTGCGTCTTTGACATCTGATCCCGTGCCTTGACAAGAACCTTTTGCATGCGACAAAGGAACGCAAGATGGTCGTCGCTCTCGGTTGTGCGCGGCGAAGTGGCGTCCAGCGGCGATGAGATGGGTGAACCATGCTCAAACTCGAATGGTGACATTCCGATAGCCGGATGGATCGATGAGTTGTAAGCCAACTCAACGCCTGGCAAGCGCTCAACCCAATCAACCTGGTCAGGACGGATGAGAGTGCGTAGAAGGACTTTATCGGTCTGATGCGCCCTTTCCGTTTGACCACCGGTTTGCGAGTGGCGAGCCGGACTCGGCTTCAAAGATGAGCCCCATCGCTTGACGAGCGCGACCCAAAAGTCGGAGAGAAAGCGAGTGCCCCGGTCGCAAACGATCTCCTTGGGGTAGCCCTTGGAGCGAACCCAACCGGTGTATAAGACCTCGGCTAACTCCTGTGCCTTTGCGTGATCACGGCAAGGCAAAAACATGGCGTACTTGGAGAGGCGGTCGACGACCATGAGGATCCCATCAACGCCAGTTTTGTGCTTCGGGAAGGGGCCGGTGATATCCATAGCAATTGCTTCCCGTCGCCCAAGGGGCACTGGTAGTGGGTGTAGCTCGCCGAACGGACGGTGGTTGCGTGACTTGCAACGTCAACAGACTTCGCACGACTCACAATAGCAGGTGGCGTCCTTAAGAAGGTCGGGCCAATAGAACCATTGGCGAAGTCGGCCAAGTGTACGGTTGACACCAAAAGGTCCGGAGGTGGGCGCATCGTGAAACTCGCCAAGAAGCCATGTGCGCAAGTGTGAATCACTCGGCACACAAAGAAGATCCTTACCCCGTGAATGCACAAGCAAGTAGCCCTCTTGGATCCGATAATGCGAAGGCACCGGATTCGGAGAGGAGCAATTCGCGTACTTGTCGCGAAAGTGGGGTCGGCTTGATAGTCGCGGATGAAGCTCTCCCGCAAGTCGTCGTCGATCTCGAAGGTAGAGTAGACTGCGGAGCAAAGATCYGGTCGCCGTGAGAGGGCGTCCGCAAAACGGTTTGACTTCCCGGGAATGTGATCGGGGAAAAAGTCAAACTGGTCGATGAAAGCCATCCAACGGGCAATGGTACTGTTAATCGTGTCTTGCGACTTGTAAAATACCAACGGATTGTTATTTGTCACCCATCGGAATGCTTTCCGACCAAGGAGGARATGTCGCCAACGCTTGAGGGCGTGGACGAAGGCCAGAAGCTCCTTCCGTGCATCGTCGATCGAATGCATGGGAGGTACTTTCTTGCTAAAGTACTCGACCGGGTGCCAATCCGTGCCATCGTGCTGCTCAAGGACGGCCCCAATGCCATAGCCCGACGCATCGGTAGTGACGCGTGTAGCTAGAAGAGGGTCGGACATATGTAACACCTCCGCGGATAAGAGTGTCGCTTTGAGTGTTTCAAAAGAATGGCGCGCATCCTCGTCAAAGTCAAAAGGCCGCTCCTCGCTTTGTAACTTGCTTAGGTTGGCCGCGATCTTCGAGTAACCCTTGATGAAGCGTTGATAATAACCGGCCAAGCTGAGGAAGGATCGGACGTCCGTCACATTCTTCGGCTCGGGCCACTCCTGGATGGCTTGAATCTTGTCCGCCAACGTACGAATGCCTTCCGGAGAGACAAAATGGCCCAAGTATTCAAGCTCTTGCCAGACAAACTCGCATTTGTCGCGGTTAGCTCTAGAACACGGCGAAGGTGCTCGAGATGCTCCTCTAGAGTTCGGCTATAGACGAGGATGTCGTCTAAGTAGACTAAGACAAATCGGTCCAACATAGCGCGAAACTCGGTAGTCATGGCCGCCTCAAAGGTGGTCGGGGCATTGGTGAGGCCAAGAGGCATAACTACCCACTCAAAATGCCCATTATCGCGTCTTAAACGCGGTCTTGTACCGATCTTGCGAACGGATGGAAATCTGATGGTAGCCCGACTTGAGGTCCAACTTCGAAAAGTACTTGGCGCCGCCCAACCGCTCAAGCAAATCGTCAATGCGAGGTAGAGGCCCCGCATTCTTGATGGTTTGCGTGTTGAGGCGTCGGTAGTCAATGCAAAGTCGAAGGTCCTTGTTCTTCTTCCAAACGAAGAGAACGGGCACACCGTAAGGTGAGCTGCTAGGGCGGATCCAACCCTTGTCAAGTAGATCGTCAAGTTGCGCACGAAAAACCGGACATGCGATAAATGCATCCCTTCGGTGGCACGGCGCTGGGCTCGAGTATGATCTCGTGAGAGATCGGCCGGTCCGGCACTATACCGGAGGGTGTCTCAAAAACATCCGAGAACTCGTCTAACAACCGGGTCCCACGGGAGTCGGAAGACAAATCCGTGGACGAAACATCCGAGAACTCGTCTAACAGCCGGGTCACACGGGAGTCGAAAGACAAATCCGTGGACGATGAGTCGGTCATCGGGACGGTTCGAAGAAAAGCGATGCCGATCTCTTTGACATGCTCGGAACGGCATGTGTCTCGAAAAGATTTGGCACTCACGACTTGGCACCGAATGGAAGAGCGAGGAGGAGGAATAGTACATGGGACCTCGACGCCAGTTGCATCACGAATCGTGAGCGTGCATCGATGGAAGTTGACCGTGTGGTCCGCGTTACAAAGCCAAGGCATCCCCAAAATGACATCAAAGTCGGTGTCCAGCACGTCAAAAGTGACGTGTTCACATGCGTGCGGTGCAAAGTACATCGGGACAGCTGAGATGTAACGGTCTAAGAGCTGTTTCGTCTTACCGTCGGCAAGAGCGACCGTCGTCGGATGTGACTTCCTCCGTACTTGTGCGCCAAGGCCAGCCCGAGTCATGAAGGACTGGCTGATGAAGTTGCGAGTTGCGCCGCAATCTAGCAAAGCATTGCAGGCCGCTTGCCCAATCTGAATGCGAACGTAGAGCAACGGTGCGTTGTTTTCTGCGTACCGTTGCGAGAGAAACTCGCGGGCCACCTTGGCAACATAGCCAAGCATGTCCCCCACCGCGACTTCATCTACCGTCAGCGAAGTTGGTGGTGCGGTCTCATCGCCGATCACGATCTCCCGCGTGAACAGTCGTTCCCGCTGTTGACCGCATCGGTCCGGCACCGCTCGTGGCAGCGCGGGACCCTCTCGGCCGCGTCACGCAAGAGTTGGACCAACATCGTCACGAACACGCAAATGGAGCTTCTTTAGGCCGCTCCGGCCGAGTGCGCCAGCCATACCTCTCGCGAGCCCCTATGACAGGATAGGGCCTACGCGAGGCACAACTTACCTCCACCTTTCGGGAGTTGTCACCTCCCTTCGGTGGGCGTATCCCCGCCGAGCTACCAGTCCACAGTACGAAAGCTACTCGGTTGCAATCGCAGAGGTGGACCAGCCGAGGGCGTTTCTCGTTCGCTGTAGCATAGGGGGTACGTGCGGTAATACGCCTACCGGACCAGCACGCGAGCCGACATCTTGGGGGGCTGAAGTCCCAAGCGTGGCTCGTCGTCGGTCGGCTAGGACGCATCCCACTCACCACGCATACACTACTCTACGAACACAAAAGGGAACGCACACACACATGCACGAAACGACACGCGACAACGCTCCTAGCCCCTTGGTGACCGTCCCATAACTTTTCGATGCGGAAATCGAATAGGCGTCGCGCGCGAGACTTAATATAAACCGCGCGGACGCGGGGCTATCCCATATCGACTCGCAATGCAAACGTGCGCAATCGGTCGCAGTAATGGCGTACTATGTAGTACCCACACCCATGCGGTCCTCGTTAATCTTGAGGGCTGCATTCGACACTCAAGTGTCAGCTCACACGCGCCTTGAGGGTTAATCTCTCGACGTTGGACAACCGCCATGCGCGGTTGAAGAGCACACCCTCTTCTACACCCTGTGCAAAGGAGTTGAGTAGGCAGCTTTAAGCTGTCGTGGCGGTCAAACATCAAGGGGTTTGACTTTGACGGCCGCCACGGACTATAACGTCCAACCATGAAAGCGCAAAAAGGAAACTCATTTTAACTCTCATTAGTTGGTGGCCTCCTAGAATAGAGGGGGGTAGGGAAGCCCAAACGACCCGCGCGCGGAGGGGGCCCGGTATCCTACCCATAAACTACCCGGCGTCCGGGATAATAAGACCCGTACACGAACTCCCATAGGCCGACCGGGACTAATCCTCCGCCCGCGTGCCGCTTCACGTTACCAAAGCCCCAAGTCTATAGGTCGTGTCGCGCTCGTGGTCTCGCCGCCTCACCCATAACTCTTTTAGTGCGGGATGCGACGAGCGCTGTGTGCGCGAACTTAATATAAGATCGCGAGGGCACTGGACTTACACATACTACCTCGCAATGACGACGCATTATGTAGTGCCTATACCCAAATGGCCTATTCTGAGCCATGGGGTCATCTCCGACGCTCAGGCGTTGGCTAAAGCGCGCGCAAAAAGGGGGGTAACCCTTTAGCGGGCGCAAGACCGCCCTGAGGGCCTTTCCGTCGTCTACACCCTGAGGTGTCCCGAAGGGTGCGGGGTAAGACGGCCCCTAGGGCAGGAAGGACTTTGGAGCGGTGGTGAGTTGTCTGGCGCATCACCAACGACACGCTAACCCTTCCGCCCGAAACTTTATCGTTTAGGGGTCGCCCTGGGCGAGGGTCATCATATTCCAAGCTCAGGGCTAACGTCCAACCAAGGATTCCTCAAGAAAACGGCGCGGGTCATCCCCTCCCTTCTATTCATCCCAACCCTCGATTGGGCCCTTAGTGCACGGGCACCCCAGGCCGCACTAATACCCTTACGTAGGTACACA